CTGTTTCCAGTGACTGGCAAGCAGGAAAATGTTCCTTTGGGGTTAGTAGGATAAAATTTTCAACCTGCATGCATAATAACAACAAAATAATTTCAGCAGATTCATTAACACTCTAAACGCATGATTTGGAAATACACAGTTTACGACATGCAAAACGCTTTAAAAATTAGGGACAAGCTGTGTCATAATCTTGCATGTAATATACCGGTATTTGTGAAAGAGCAATCATACTAATTAAAGCTTCTTGCTGGCCTTATGTTCTTAAAAGATCATTCTTAAGTTGTCTGCAGATAACAGAGTAGAAAAATGGTAAACATTTTAAAAAGACGGAGGCTGAAATCCTGCTACACAGTTACAAAAATGATACTGTATAACTTTTAGAGGCAAATTGCCAGAAGTTAAGACATCTCTGTAGAGTAGACCTTATTGCCAAAGTATGTGACTCAGTTTGCAAAAGATAATGTCTATGGTGCAGTAAATCAAAACTATTCCCCGAGGTGTGTATGTTGATTTTTTAAAAAAATTTTATTTCGAACAGGAAAAGATAGGGGAAGAGGGTTGTTAGCTTATATTTCAATACAGTATGTATTTCTGAAAAGGGGAGAAGAGATTTCAGTTACACAGAGAAGGCTGCCTTTTATCAGACCTTTCTTTGCAGAGATGCATGAATTTCACTCTTAGCTTGCTTATGACAAGTCCTGTGGTTCCTCGGAAGGAAATATTTTCTTCCTGACCTTCAGCTGCATCTCACAAGATGTGGTAAAAGCTGTAAGCATGAGGAGGAGTTTAATATAATCAGAAAAAAACAGCAGATAGGGAGATTTGCTCTAATGCTAGCCACTCAGTAATACCATTGCCCTTAGGAAGCTGTGTGCAGTGTGCTGTGGAGGACTTGTTGGGAGTGCCAGCTGGACCAGGTGTATTTTGATAATTTCTCACAGACAAAAAAATGTGCATAGTACTGTACTAGAAGAGCAAATACTTTATTTGTTAACGTATTTCTGTACTGCTGTTCATCAAGGCTCTCTGGAACAGTTTAAAAATGCAAAGTATGATATGTTGTTAAAATAATATATATCAGCAAAAACCCTGGATCACATGTTTGCAAATAATGCCTTCTGCTTCCTTCCTTGTGAAATTAGCCAGTGAGTCCCAAAACTTCTTGTAACATGCATAGTTTACAGTTGCTGACCAAACTGATGGGAGTGAGGAAAAGAGAGGATGGAGTTGTAGTGTATGCTCCTGGATGTAATGTAATGTAATGTAATGCTAAGTGTCCATGGACTGCATGCAGTACCCTCCCTGTTATTTTTGCCCCCTACGTTTCCAGTTTCCAACACATCTAAAATAATCAAAATGAGTTTGTAAGGAAAAAAATCAGAAGGGAGAGGGATGGAAAGGGAATACTCTTATTCTGCCATTCTGCAGATGTTTTGCATTTAGGCTACAAGGGCCTCAACCAGGCAAGGAACACACCAGGCAGGAGTATATTCCCGTGAGGGTGATGAAAAGAGGAATCCAAAAAGCCAAACTGGGTGGGTAAGTCTAGAGGATACAATAATGGAGTGCAAATAATAGAGAGAATGAGTAGCCAGACCTCAACTGGAAATCCAGGCTATACCTTGCAGTCAATCCAAGCAAAACAGCAGCCAGAAATGGCATCAATGATGACTGTGGATCAGGTTGCCAGACAGCCAACCAAGCAGGAGCCTGACATGCCAAGAGCACAAGAGGTAACAGAGGTCCATATCGAGTTAGTCATGGAGAAGGAAAGCCAGGAAAGGCTTGGGGAGCAAAGCAGGGCGTGCTGGTGTTCTACATACTCGCCAATGATCCCATTAGTTTCATCAGCCTGCAGCAGAGCCTCCTGTAGCTAAGCTGCTCTGTTGCCTCATCCAAGGACTCAGCTGCAGGTCTTCCAGCATTAGGTCTCCCTAGGAAGAGACCCAGGGATGCCCCTTATTCGTGAGGAGGCGCTTAATCCCAAGAAGACCTTTCTTGCAGCTGCCCTGTGTTGCTTTCAGCATGGCTTGTGCCTTTGTGTAGTGCAGGTCCCTTGGACTGAGGAATATCCCCATTTCCTCCTCGTACTCCTCCTCAGCAGGAGAAAAGGTCCCACCAATTGTTTCTTCTGGTTCTGGTTTCCTGACTGAGGATAATTCCTCCAATAGGAGCGGGATTGCAAAGCTCTATGGTGTAGAAAGGTACTGTATTCTGGCATCACCACACACCAACCACCACCGTTTTTGCCAAATTTCAGGGGCAACTGCAGCAGTGGCAGACATCTTAGATAGCACCAGGTGCTGAACTGTAGCAGTGTCAGTATGGTCCCCAATGGATTTTAGGATCCAATACAGCACCCGGGCACTCAGGAGTTGTCCAGAATGGGGATAATAATGGGACCATAATGGTTTAGTTTTCCAAAATTCTCATTCCCTGTAGACGACAACATTTTAGATTTGCTTGTTTCATTCAGAGCCCACTCCAGTGGTAATACTAATAATTTTCCTCACAATAATGTTGTGGATTTGTGAGTGAATAAATGTTATGTAGTAAATACAAAACTGATCAGGGATTTAAACCGAAATCTATGGAATCCAAGTTTTGCATTATAGTTACTGCACCCTTGTGAATGCTGCACACATCTACAGTTGTTACCAGCTGTGAACCACACAAACAGCTTCTATTTCCAACACAAATAAGGAGCAGAATAGCATTGTTTACTACTCACTGCAAATATACCAGAATTATTATACAGATACCTGAGAGGTGTTCAAATCAGTAGGTCATATTTTAAGCTGGTAAAGTTAATGAACTATATAGTGTGATGTGAAAGAATTATATGGTTCTGAAAACAAGATTTGCACAGTCTGATTTAAGATTAAACGATAGATTTGGAGATTCATCTTATGTACTTGGAAGTACAATAAGTTCCACTGTATTCAGTGATGCCTACTTACACCTGCTTAAGTGTCAGCTTTAATTTTTTTAAATGCAACGTTTAAGGGGTTTGATCTGGAGATGCCATTCAGCTAGGTGCTATTTGGAAGTGGAAGGGTGTTTTCCCACCTTAACAGAACACCTTTACATGAGGAAAGAGAACTGAAATGTGACAGAGTGCTTCCATTAGCACATAAATGCTTTGAAACCTCTTTTGCAGAAGATCAGGTATAACATCTAAAGATTGATACGTGAAGTAAGTCTGCTACAGGCAGTTTTCATCAGGTAGGAGTGAGAAATTTGCAGACCAGTGCTAGTGCCCAAATCCATGTATTTCTCAATTCAAACCAAAATATTTAATGTCATATATTTAGATAAAAGCAGTGTATCTGTGTCTGTGTTATTTGCAAGCATGTCTGAGAAATGGGAAGTAAGATCTGTCTTTATTAATAAAGTGAATGTGATAAGTAGTCTTTTCCATTTGTTTGAGTAATTGATTGACCTGTATACCTCAGGGTACATTAATGGTCATAATACATTAAGGTGAACATTTGCTGCTGAGTGTAAAATCTTTGAAGGTATTGAAATTGTATTTCTTTGGGGATGGCTTGTGGATTGCAGCAGGGATGGTGTTTTACCCCAACGTTTTAGGATGAATTCCTTTTTTCTGTCACAAGCCATGTCTGGTCCCTTTAGTTGTGACTTGAAATAACATTTAAACACCTATAAAGACTAACTGATGTTCTGTTTTTCCATCTGCAATGCAAAGTAAATAGGTTTGTAGGAGGAAGAACTTGAAGAAGGTGGATGCTATGCACATTTCCTAACAAGCTTCTGTGATGTGTTATAATGGAAAGAAAGGAAGGTTTTTCTTTTTATTCAGATATGGAAATGGTTTGTAAGAGTAAGAAGCTTTTATTTGGCATGAAGAAGTAACGTTTCTATTTTGCTATTACTGGGATTTCTCCATTTTTCTCAGTGCTTCTGTTTGTTAAGAGTCTTAATTTTTTTCATTGCTATGTGGTTGATCATAGTGTATTCTCTAGTGTTAGTCCTCATTATGTCTCATGGGCCCCAAGTCTAACCAACTAATTATCTATTTTACCACAATCTCATCATTACAATATCTCTAATCAAGAATAGATCAGAATCTTATTTTTATTTTACAGGAGCCACCCAGACCATACCACAAACTACTGAAATGTTTATCAGTGCAGGGTTGGACTAAATGTAAGAGAATAAGTATTTGGGATGATAATGAACATGCATAGAATTAACTGATCTTTTAAAACTACATATCTGCAGCCCTTACCAGCTCACTGTGATACTAGTTTAGCTGATAAGAGAAAAAAGATGCTGGATGTTTATCTGTTAAAGAATATATGGGGCAGGCTCATTTGCAGTGGACAGACATTAAAGTCACTGCTGTGTTTGTTTACTGCAGGTGTAATGGCAAATGTAGAAGTAACTACGATGATGTAGAGCAGTCCATTTGTCTGCCTGCTTGTACAATTGCCTGTGTGAACAGCCATGCAAGCAGGGAGGCAACTTAGACCTCTCTGCCAAAGCCACTTCTACATTTACAGTTACATGTGTGTAAAATTGAAGGCAGGAGGAGAAGGGGACGACAGAGGATGAGATGGCTGGACAGTGTCATCGAAGCGACCAACATGAATTTGACCAAACTCCAGGAGGCAGTGGAAGACAGGAGGGCCTGGTGTGCTCTGGTCCATGGGGTCACGAAGAGTCGGACACGACTAAACGACTAAACAACAACAAAATTGAAGAGGGTGGTGGCGTCAAGATTTGACTTTCAGTAATTCCTCCTGATAAAAACACTGGTGCTTTTAAAAATATATATCTGTTTCTAATTTTGTGGGAAGAACATGGTTACTATACTGTAAGTGTGACTGGCCTTTAGAAATTCATTTGTACTCATTTGAAGGGAGACCTGAAGAGTAGCTTTCTTGCTACAATGAATGTGTCTCAGAATGAGAGAGACCTAAGAGGTAACTGATGAAAGGCTGTGAGGCTAGTGACAAAATATGTTTGTCTTTCAGATCCCCAGCTCAAGGGTATAGTGACCAGGTTATATTGCAGGCAAGGCTACTACTTGCAAATGCACCCCGATGGAAGTCTCGATGGAACCAAGGATGACAGCAGCAATTCTAGTAAGTGCTTGCTTTAGGAAACTCTTTGTACTCCCACCTCTCCCACAGGTAGTGTGTTGAGTTACCCATTCTGAGATGTTATGTTCTGGTATCTTTTTATGGCTTTTGTTCCCCTCCCTTCTCCAAAATATCTTTTAGCAAAAGTGCTTTTTTTCAAAGCAGGATTCAAGACTTCTTCTTTTGTAATCTCTCCTTCTTCATACTTATAAATAAGAAAACGCGTCTGGTTTCAAGCTGTTCACCAGAGACATATGTTCTGCTGTTTCTTGTGTGTGTGGGGAAATGTTTACTAAATTTGGAAAGAAAAAAACTCACTGCTCAAGTTGCTAATTTTGACCAGAAACTCATTTCCCTTACATGTTTTGAGTAGAACCTACTCATACTAGATGAGCTCTCATAAAATACTGCGACATCTAAAAGGCCTTTAATATTTATTGCAATAATAAAAAAAGAACTTCCAGAGTGGGGGGGGGGAATGTTATTTCTTGGATGATACAGCTGTTGCTGCTGAATTCAGCCCAGACCAGGATTTGATTGTGGATTTTCCAGTGTATAAACACAATTCTCATGGCAGTTCACTGAAATCTGCTGCATTTTTAGAGCATTTTAGTCTGCACTAGAGTTTCAATCAGCTCCCCCAGCCTCAGAAGAACTGTCCAATCCAGCCGTCCACTTCACAGATGCAGGCTAAAGACAGCTGTTTGGCTTTGAGTACCAATGTCTGCTTATGGGACCAATCTTAATAAATGTAATTCTCAGCTATTTCCTTGCAAAGAACCCTAGGAACTGTGGTTCAGAGGAATGCCCTGGAGCTCTTTAGGAAATTCAGAATATCTCACAAACTACAAAGCTATGATCCCTGAGGATGGAGCCCTAGCAGATAGTGTTATCATGCTAATATTGTTGTATAATGCAAATGGGTTTGAAAAGAACCTGTCAAATTCTATGCAAAGCCTGAACCAACTGAATGAGAATAGAATCAACCTCTTTCCATACACCCAGTTACATACCCAGGCCCTTTGACAGCCTTAGTGAGACCTGAGAAATGTTGAGGTCTCTCACCCTTGTTCCTCCCATCCTCAGATTCAACTAATATGGGAGGGTATCTATAGATTTTGTTCAGCAAATCCCTTCTTAATGGGGATGGCCTGAACCCGACAGGGCAGTGGCTGCTTGCACTAAATGACCAATTGCCACTTCCTGTGCTACCTTGAACAGATTGTCTTCCTAGTGGGCACTGCTGTGTCTAAGTTGATAATGACCTGCATACCTATCAGAAATTCATTCAGTTTCCATTCTCTAACTTGCCTGTGGTTCTAACTTAACGTCATGGCTAAAACATGTCTAGTTTTTAAACTGCCACACGCCCATCAACTCCCTCTATTTTCTGATCCACTTAGCCTAGTGCTAGAATTGTGCTCAGGAAAGAGCTGTGATTGGAACCACTTTCAGAGACTTAAGGGAGAGATCCTTTTCATTTTTATTAAATAACAAAACTAAACATGAAAGTTACATTATTAAACTTAAATCAAACGCCAAAGATCTGTTGCTCCGTGTCACTTGCACAGTGCTCTGTTTCATGCACAGTGGGGCTTTTTCAATGGTCGTGCAAGGTGGTATCCACTACATACTTGCAAAAGTAAAATCCCATTTAAAACAATGGGGCAATTTTTGGTTTGTATGAAGGTAAACTAGAGATCATAGGATCTCCATGGTCACAGCCTTACTGGTCCAACATTCTAAAAAGTAAACAAATTGGAATGAAATTGCAGAAAGGAAAATCAAACAGGCTTTTGATCACAATCTGTTCAGCTAGTATTCATTTATATCTTTCTAGTACTTCATAGATATGAGCAACTATCTTTACACAGAAACTGAACTGGGAATAAATTCAAAGTCATGAGCCTATATAGTTACTTATAGTCTTATTTAACCCTTTCTCATATAGCTACAGTCTGCCCATTTGTAATGTGGGGGGTAGTAGTACCACCCTAACATACAGGAATATTGTATGGATTCCTGAGATAATATTTGTGAAATGTGGTGGACCCTCTGAAACACTGTATAAATCACTGCAACATTTATTTCCATTCACAGTACAGTGGTGCCTAGCAAGACGAAAGTAATTCGTTTCGCGAGTAGCATCGTATTGAGAAATTTTCGTCTTGTGAAAGCACGGTTTCCTATAGGAATGCATTGCAATGCATTCCTATGGGAAACCTCGCAAGCCGAATGAATTATTTTCGTCTTGCGAGGCATCACTCTTGCGGGGGGGGAATTGTCTTGCGAAGCACAGCCATAGAAAAAGTCATCTTGCGAGTCACCACAACAATCGCAAAATGCTTTCATTTTGTGAGTTTTTCGTCCGGTGAGGCATTTGTCTTGCAAGGCACCACTGTACGTGGGCATGACTTTTTTATTTCTGGTTTTCATCATTAAGAATCGTTTCCCTCCAGGCTTTACTTTAATTTCCTCTTCTTTAGCACATATTGTAATAGCTTGGCACTGGGGCTTAGCTGTTCTGATTAGCCTATACTTTCGATACTTACCTCACAATTAACTCAGCCAAGCAAATTACTGAAAAATTGTTCATCTTGGCAAAGGTTTTTATTTTATTATTTCAACATGTGGCTCACTTGGTTTTTGGTGCCTTCCTTTTCACAGTTCTCATTTGTTCAGCCTCATTTGTTCACAGTATTTAAACCAATCAACTGACAAGTTGCCCAACGTTATTTGTGGATGCCATTGACACCAAATATAGCATGATGACATCATAGAAATCAAATAGTTCGTTATCTCTGCTCAGATTAAATGGCAGAGACACCAGGAACATAGAAGGCAAGGAAGATGAAGTAGAGAAGCAGTGTTGGGATGATGCAAATATGTTGGAAACAAAAGTATTCAAAATCACAAAATGTAAGAGGCACTTGGTGGCCTTAATGCAAGTAAACATGCAGACATATGAGCTTCTTGGGACCAGTTTGGAGTCTTTTAACATTTCTGAAAGCTTTTTTTAAAACTCTAAAAGTACTGCGTTTACATATACAGTATATCTTTCTCAGAATTGGGTGAGCCATCCAGTCCTACTCTCTTCTGCAGCTGCTGGGGTGAATGCATGTAAAAATTTGTACTGAATCTGTTTTGGCATCATTCTGTCCCAAAGAAGCACAGCAAAGCTGTTTAGTGCACACCATTTGTCACTCAGGATGAGACATCTCCTTAGTCATATCTCCTTTCTAATTCAAGATGGCAATAACATTTTTTTAAAAAGCAGAGGCTACACTGCTCCCTTCTCTATGTTCCTTGTTCCTCTGTTGTGGAGATGATTTTGTAAAACGCTTCACTTAATGGTGACTAATCCCAGCCTTCTCCCTGTGTCTGAGAAAACAGCTTCTTCCACATACCCCCCTGGTCTATTCTATGATCTGGAATACGAATACCCATTCGGATGACAAACAAGTCAATAAAATGTGCTTAGGGCAGGCCTGTCTAGAAGAGGGCATTCCGTCTTCTTCGTTGCCACAGCAAAGGTTCCAAAAGTTCCATCCAGACTGCCTGGCACTCTGGATGGAGCAATGGAGGGCAAGGCATTGCATCTGTTGATACGGGAAAGCAGGGAGATGGGTTTCTTGCCACACAGTTATCCCACCATGAGTGGTGAATAATGGGGGGGGGGATTTATCCTGCAATGGTTTGATGGGCTGTGGGCTGTTGGTGCCCAGTGTGCATACGTAAGCAATCCATGCATAATGATTCATGAAGTCACAGAAGTCAAAGACAGAATCTTATCAGCTTAATATTTAACTATACTATTTAGAGACAGTACTCCCTTGCATGATTCTGCCCTGAGCTTATTTGAATGTTGTTTAACTGAAATGTGTCTATTAAAAGCCTGGCTATGCCACATATAGAAGACTAATGATTAATATCTTATTTACTTGTAAGGATTAAGCTGTCTTCTACATTATATGTCAGGTTCAAAAATTGAACTCCTGTTAGAACTAATGTAGCGAACCACAGTTAAACTAGTTGCCTCAAAGTGACACACAACACTCTTCCTTGGTGTCTGCTAATCCTGCAGAAGATTAATGAGGGAACCCCATTTTCTCTGTGTATATCCTGTAACTATTACTGCCATTGGTTTGTTCTCTTTTTCTCTTTGACGCATCCCTCTCTCATGACAAACAATAATGAGCAATTCCAAAATCTACGGCAGAGCCGTGCCTTTATTAGGATCAAACAAAATGTCCTAAAATAGTTACCAAGGCTTCCAAAATTCAACCATAAATTCTGCATGGATCACAGTTTGAGATGGAGTCTAATGAGATCACGGGTGCAGTCTGGTTACCCTCTTCTAGATGCTGTGCAAGTTTCAACCTAAAATAGGGAGGGTGGATAAATAGAAGAAACAGATATATGGCTGATACCCTATTTACAAAAAATCTAATTGTTTCCTATTTATTTTCCCTTCCTCACGCTAGGGGCAGCCTCTGAGCATTAACTATCTAACATGGAAAACATGTCCAAGACAGATTTGGACTTTGCCAGAGTTTAGAAATTGGCCTCTCCTTTTCTGCAGCTGGGGGTGGGAATATGGCCCCCATAATTCCCTAGACAGCACAACCACTGGGAGTTGTTGCCCATAAATATTACTTTCCCCACTTCTGGATTCTACTGTGCGGCGATCACTTCAATGCCTGTTGCTTGTAATCTACATGCAGCAAGCTGCTGAAGTACTACCAGCAGCCTGGTGGACTCAGGTTAGGGAAGTTGCTTAACATCATGACTGAAACTGGGGGTGGGGGGACAGAGTGAGAAGTACTGAACTGACATATGAAAAGTTGTTGGAGGGTACAGTTCAAAGCCTTCACACAGTGGGTCTAAATTCCTCTATGTTTTCTATCTATGAATCTTTAGATGCTGTTACACTACAACCCCACCATTCCTGATTATGGACCATAACATCTGTGGATAATGAGAGTTGTAATTCAACAATAATTGTAGAACCAAGGTTAGGAAGGACTGCTTTGGAAGTTTACTGATACAGTGGTGCCTCACTTGACAACGTTAATTCGTTCCAGCGAAATCGCTGTAGAGCGAAAACGTCAAATGAAATAAAAAACCAATTGAAACGCATTGAAACCCCTTCAGTGTGTTCCAATGGGCTAAATACCTGCTCGTCCAGCGAAGATCCTCCATAAAGCAGCCGGTTTCGGTGCCTGTAAAGCGAGGAATCCATCCTAGAAAACAGTGGGGTGCCATTTTCTTTAGCCGGCGGCCATTTTGAAACCTGTCAATCAGCTGTTTGCTGATTGTCGTAAAGCGAAAATCAGTTCCTGAAACAGGGAACTGATCATCGCACAGGGAAAGAAACCCATTTAAACCATCGTTTTGCGATCGCAAAAGCGATAGCAAGAACGTCAACGTAAAGTGGATTTATCGTAGAGTGGGGTAATCATCCAGCGGGGCACAACTCTATAAGGTTCAAATAGGTTTTAGGAGTAGCATTAAGTAATAGAGTGTTTTGGTTTCCTCTACTATGCTCATAACTTTGGATATTTAAACATCTACCTGTTATTTATTTTTTTATCTATTTACCTAAGCCAGTAAAATGTATGGAATTTTATTGCCTTTGTTCTTATATCAGCAAAATATATGTTATTTTGAAATGTTCTATGATTCTATGGTGTTTTTTACTTATGTGTGACAGATCTTCTTTATTTTTACAGCATTGTTCAACCTTATACCAGTGGGACTTCGAGTTGTTGCTATCCAAGGTGTAAAAACAGGCTTGTACATCGCCCTAAATGGAGAAGGGTTCCTTTATACATCAGTAAGTAATATGCCATGACCTGTGGTTTAAATTGAACTTCCACAACAAGACAAATACAATTAATAGAAAATCTTATAAATGATGGTGAATCAGAAGATGCTGCTTTTGGATTGATTTATGGGTTTATAACAGAGAAATGGGCCTTGATGGGAAATTTTTGTGACTACTCTCTTGAAACCATTGAAGACCGTGTATACCTGGCCCCTTTGCCATGTGGAAGCCGCTGGAATAAGCTGCTTCCCAACACTACAAGACTAAGCATTTATTTTTTATTGTGGTGTTTGATTGATCTTTTGTTGTATTTAGTGTACTTATTTTTATTTTATTTATTTATTTAACTTATATGCCGCCCACTCTACCCAAAGGTCTCTGGGCAGCTTACAACAATTAAAATACAATAAAAATACAATAAAAAGATAAAACAATTAAAATACAATTAAAATAGATACTCTAAAAATCTAAAAATCTATTATCCATCAGGACCCACCGTTGATATTATTTCAATTAAAAGCCTTCTGGAACAGGAAGGTTTTGACTTGGTGCCGAAATGTCATCACCATTGGTGCCAGACGAATCTCAATTGGGATGGCATTCCATAGTCTGGGGGCAGCTGCCAAAAAGGTCCTTTGTCTACAAGCCATCCCTCTTACCTCCTTGAGGAATGTCTCTTTCAAAAGGGCCCCGTGGCTAGATCTTAACTGCCGGGTAGGCTCATATGGAAGGAGGCGGTCCTTCAGGTATCCAGGGCCCAAGCCATTTATGGCTTTATACATCAAAACAAGCCCTTTAATTGGGCCCGGGCAGCAACTGGTAGCCAATGTAATTTAATCAGAATCAGCTTGATGTGTTCCCTAGCAGCCCCACCACTCACCAGCCACGCAGCTCGATTCTGGACCAGCTGGGCAGGGAAATGGCGCTCCAACCTGTCCAGAGAAGCACCCACTAACAGCGCTGAAACTTAGTGTTTCTAGCTTTAAATATCATCTTTTAGTGACGTAAGCCACCTTGGGTCTTTCTTAAGGAGAAAGGCAGGGTAAAAATATTTTAAATAAAAAGATAAATTGTAGTTTTGGGTCATATAGGAAGAACCTATGTTGATACTAAAAGAACAGGTAGCATGGAAGTGTGTCTTGTAGCATTGGGGTTCGTTTATTACCTGTCTATTTTGAGAAGGGACTATGCTGTCTGTGGTTGATGCTATGACAGCAATGAAGCAAGTGAAGGGACCCATTAATATCTTCCTGTGAAATTATTGACAATACTACTCATTTTCATTTAGCAAATATATTTCAAAAATGACTGGAGGATTTTTCCTTAATATAACTATACATAGTACTGTGATTACAAGTATGTATGTAGCCTGAGATCCAAAAGTTTCTGATATGCAGATTTTATTGGCATGTAATATTCCAGATTTTTTTTAACAAAAAAATATAGAGTTTGAATAATTAAAAATTATTTTAATTATTCCTAGGAATGTTCTTCAGATAGCTCTGGTATAGAATTTCAAAACGGAACAGAGTATATTAAGAAAATTACATATTTTGGTTAAACAAATCTTGTGTAATACAGTGTGTACATTACCCTACAGTCATTTAATGATATAAAATATAATGATATAATAATAGGAGCTTATGGGTTTTCGCCAAGGATGTTATTGTCATGATTAAAGGCGAGACAACCTTCATGTTAATAAACAATAGACAAAAGCTAGCAAAGAGGGGTCCTATTAGTTTCAGTGAGACAGAGTTAACAAGATGTTTGCCTCCACCACTAGAATACACCTCACCTTAGCTAGATGGCTCCAATATTTTGCACAGAACAACATGTCATTAACAAGGAGCTGTATACTATGAAAGTGAATATATGGTTCAGAAGTGAACTGATATGGATCTGAGGGCCACATGAAGATAATCTAAAAATATAAACTGGAACGATTGCTCGTGTTTTATTATATTTGTATGCTGGTCAAATGTCATTTCATATTATATCTTTTATTCTTATTGAGACAGAATGTGATGTTATTCTTTTGAAAAGGTTGAGAGCAGTATAGATGTAAGTTACAATATCAGTCCCTTGAAGGATAACAGAAATCACAAAGTAGCAAAAAGTACATTGGCTGCTATTGTTTACAAGTTCAGTATAGCCAAGACAGAGATCATTTTCTGTCCTCTGGCTTGGATGAAAGAGATTTAAATGTCTGCCTAAGGATTCCATGGCACAAAAATTGCAGTGTTTTGTAAGGACATTGCCCTCTGGCCCAAATCCAGCTGTATGGAAACAGCAATGCGATAGTCTCATTAGTTTCATTAAAGTTGTTTGGTGCTGAAGGAATGTGGATTCATGTGCTGGGCACATAGTACATTTATGTACCTGTTATGCTTTATGTAGCCCATGACACATGCACAAAAGCCTGCTTTCAGGTGTGCATGCCCCCAGCTGAACCATGGAGTATGTTTTAAAGAATGTTATCTATTGGAGAAGGTGCTTGATATTTATTTCATGGTGTTTTCTATACCTCTTGTCTGGAGAGCTGCTCTAATTATCAGTGTAATGATTTATTTCATTGGAAGGAATGCTAGATGTAGTTTCAAGCTCTTGCTACCCTGAAGAAAAATATTCTGTTTATTTTGCATAGAAGGCAGTGCTCTGAAAGTTAATTAGGAGGAAATGTTCTAATAACTGAAATGTCATCAAAATTTTAAAAAATGAGTATTGTACAGACCTTCACTGTCATACATTGAAGGACGGCGTATGGACAATCCATGTCTTTTAGTAGAACACTGGAAGTGTGTCATAAGAAACCTATAATATAAAAATGTACACTTACTGGAAAGTTGATTGCTCTGACTGGTGCCTTTTTGAGTCTGTCATATGCCATGTGCATGAATATGGTTTTGTAGGCATGTACACATAAAACAATGTACTCCAGCACTGTAGCCCATGTTCTACAGGCCAGTACTGATAGCTGTGTGTGTGTTTGTGTATTCTTCCTCCATAATGTTGCAACATTTCCAATATTTGTTGAGGTAAGAAGGCAATTCCCAAATATAAATTCTGTTTCTAAAAATAGATTGGAAAGCACTGTGGAAATTCAGAGAATGAGAAATCGCTACAAGGTGATTCTAATACTATATTCTCTTGCATGCTCTTTAGGAGATTCTGGTGTGATCAGTCTTCAGAAATCATATAATCTCTGGTATAGTATGGCTACACTTGAATGTATATGGTATGCCAGTATTCATATGCCCAGAGGGAGTAACTGTGTTAATTTTTTGTTAATGGTCAAAATCCTACTATGAAATAGTGGCTCAAATCGTGTTCCTTTGCACAGTAGAGTAGGCCTGCTGAATCAATGCAGATTTTGTAAATCATCTCCTCTTTGAACTCAATTGATTTAAATGGGTCTACTCTAGTTGTGGCTTACTTTAATGTATGTTGCAGTTACAGTAGGCACATTTAAATCAATGCAACTTATGGAGGAGTTGACTCACTATATCACCATTTATTCAGTGGGCCTACTCTGTTGTGAAGGTACGTGGTGGCGCTGTGGGCTAAACCACAGAAGCCTGTGCTGCAGGGTCAGAAGACCAGCAGTCGTAAGTTTGAATCCACGTGACGGAGTGATCTCCCGTTGCTTTGTGCCAGCTCCTCGCCAACCTAGCAGTTCGAAAGCATGCAAATGCGAGTAGATAAATAGGTACCATCTTGGTGGGAAGGTAAAACGGCGTACCCTAGTCACGCTGGCCACATGGCAACAGAAACTGTCTTTGGACAAGTGCTGTCTCTATGGCTTAAAAACGGGATGAGCACCGCCCCCTAGAGTTGGACACGACTAGACTAAAAATGTCAAGGGGGAACCTACTCTAGTGTGACTTACTACACTAAGCAACAGAATTTTGGACAGTATGTATGTTAACCATGCAGTTTTTGCTATATGTGGATTGCCAATCACCCCTAACTGCACAGTTGGTCACGCATCCCATTGCACAAGAGGGCTAAAGAGGATGTGACAGACACATAGTAAACTGACTTCTGGGTCTTGTATGATTGCTGTTACACATTTGTAACACTTCAGGATTCTGGCTACATATCTAATGGCCTCCTGTTTCTTAGCGAGAATAACTCAATGACTCATAATGCTTCAGTACCTTAAAGTTAAATGTATGTTGTGAAAAAGAGTAGTGGGGTTTAATATTTAGAATTCATTATGCAAACAAAAAAGAGGGGGATGGGTCAACATAACTAGGAGCAGCTGGGATGTGCCTTAGTGCTGCTGCTGGTGGTAGGAATGGCAGAAGAAGCCTTTGGTGAGTCATAAGTCAGAGAAGGGATAGCAGTCAATATAGATTGCTGCTAATATGATTGGATAATCTAGTACAGGGGTCTCAAACATGCAGCCCGGGGGCCATTTGCGGCCCCTCAGATGATAGTTTGTGGCCCTCGCCTCGCCTGCCCCCCCAAAGCGCCCACACATCCTCTGCTGTCAAGAGTAAAAAAAAAACCTTGCCTCGCTCGCCTGCTCTCTCCCAAGACAGCACCTCTTGCACCCTCCATCCAGAACTGCAGCCTGCCAGCCAGCCCACTTGTCTGTCGGCTAAGGAAACTCCTGGGCGGCTTCCTTGGGCTCTTGCTCTGCTTGGCGGAAAATCTGATGCGGCCCAGCCTCACCCAGACTCTGTCTCTAGCGGCCCCCAGGTAAATTGAGTTTAAAACCCCTGATCTAGTATAAGCTTCAGAGACTCTCATAAACAACTCAGCTACTGTTTGGAAAAAAAGAAAAGATGCATACATTAAAGAATCCTCATTCTTGACCTCTGATCTTTTTGATCATGTAGGTTCTAGACTTTTGTAATAAATAGTTTTAGAAGTCCTTGATTTTTCTGCTAATGCTATATTAATTTTTATCTGCCCACAATTCAGAACAGGAAATGAACTGGACAAAATCCACTATTTATTCTTTTTGTACAGTTCTCATTTATTTCTCAGTAGTGATGGTA